ATATATAACTAGTGAACTTCCTAGAAGAACTTCTATGAATTTTATACTAAAAATTCATTAAAATGTTATTATTTTATTATAAAATATTTATAGTCAATTAAGTTTAAAGTTATTTAAATTCCATTTTACTCAATTCATGCATTTAACAAATAAAGTTTGGGTGAAATGAGAAGAAAATAGAGGAGAGAGAAAAACTAATTTGGATTTTTGTAGCCCTAGAGCAATTTTCATCCGTTAGACTTGTCAGGAAATTTGCTTGTCTCAATGTATGTTGCATTTTGAATCTTTTATATTTCAATAATTTTGTATTTTTTATATTTTTTTTGAACAAATTTGTATTTCTCTTACAAAAAAATGCTGATAACTTTATTTTGGTAAAACTTTTATCATGTAATTTTTCTATGTTATAGAAATTATTATTACAAAAATTTTGAGTATATTTTAGAAATTTTTTGCTATGTAATTTTGAAAAACCTATAATTTTTTCTGCCCATTTTTTTTTTTGACATTTAAAAGTAGTTCTTCAGTTCTACTAAAGCTTCATAATGATATTTTACACAATTTATGAAAATTTGGTTATCTTTTGAAATTGTGAATTTTTACTAAGTAGTATTTATGATGTCTACTGTTGGGACATTTTGGCATTTTTTGAATTCAGACCAATTATGCTTTAATTAATGAAATGTATTGAAAAATATATTTTGAAGTGTTGTGATGTGATGTCAGCGATAGTGGATAGTCAAGGTGGGATTTTGTTATGCTGACGCTAGTGGGTGGCCGAGATGAGATTCTATTATGCTGGCGTCAGTGGGCGACGACTGAGGTGAGATTCTTTTACGCCAGCGTCAGTGGTTGGCTAAGGTGGGATTATGTTATTCTGACACCAGTGGGCGACTGAGGTGGGATTCTATTATGCTGGTGAGATTATGTACCAAATTGTTGTTATGATGAAGCCAATGAGCTATCGAGGTAGGATTCTATTGTGAAGTGTTTGCTTATAATTCAATTTATTTTTATATTTATTTAATTATATTTAATTTTAGTATACAATTCAACGTAGTGCTCGATCTCAATTCTTTTTGTTTTTTATTACTGATTTCTATTTTAAGCTACAATAGCATACTGAGTCGTGTTCGCTTATTCTTGCTTTTACTTTTGTTTTCAAGCCCGAGGAAGAGTAAGGATCAAGTTGAGCAGTTTGGATAGCACACTCCGATCTGTGTTGTAGTTTTGTTTTGGTTAATTTTGATTTTTATAGGCTTGGCTTTTATTTTTATTGTGCTCTTTGTTGCCCAGAACTATTTTAGATAGATTTCTAATTATATATATTTTGGATGATATATAAAAAAATTAAGTTTATAGCAGTCTTCCGCTTTATATTTCATTCAATAGCAGCTCTATGTAGTATATAAATTGGAAGTTTTATTTTAGTTTGTTTTCAACCAAATCTTGGGGTCAGTCTTGCAACAATCGAACATGATATGACATGTATGATTTTGGGTCATATTGTGACAATGAACACTTTAACACTGATAATTCAGTTCAATTGCCCATGCATACTTATATATTTATTTAGATACATATTGAGTTATACGCCTTTTATAAATGAATATATTCTTTGTATAGCTTTTCATGTTGCCTCATAACCCTATAAAAAATGGCCATATGAGAGTTTATAATCATGTGTAAAGAACTTCCTAGTAATATTTATCCTCAACTTACCACTTATTCATTTATTTTATTTTGAAATGAATATGTTTTGCTTATTTCAATTTTTATGTCTGACTAAAACATTTCTCTAAACTTATGATAATTTTAAACCATATTTGCTTAAGATTGGATCTGCATTTCATAAATCTATAAATGTTATATTTAAATTCTTCATGCTTAATTTAGTTTATGTTTTGGTCTTCCATAAACTTAAAACTTAGTATGATCTACATCCTCATTGGAGGATTAGTGGAATAATTATGGGAATTAAAATTATATTCTACTTTATATAGACATCTGATAGATATAGTCATGGATACTTAAGAAGTTATATCACTATATTTGATAGAAATCTTAACCAGACTCTTCAATGAGCTTATCAGAGATGAGAAATATTTATGATCTTATTCATAACAATATTAAGTGAGATCTAACTTTTGCACTCATGAGTTTTTAACTATTTTAGGTTTAGAATCACTTACATATAGGATTATCATTTTTAGACTTAATTAATAACTTCATTAGCACTCCTTCAAATTTTGACAAATAAGATAAATTTGGTAATATATTCATATAAGCAGTACTAGAGTGAACTTAGGGTAATTCCTATCATCATGGGAGTGATACTCTACTCATTATTTTTTTACATGACATGATATGTACACTTGCACAAAATTAGAATTTACACAAAAAGTAACATATTTAAAGTGTGTAGTGATCAAGTTTTTGGCACCATTGTTGAGGTTATTATATAATTATATCTTTAGTCACTTAATATTTTTAAAGGATTGCTAATTTAATCCTATCATTATCCTTATTTATCCTATTATATACTATTTTTTTTTATATTGTTAGATTTTAATTGTACATATATGTTGTAATTTACATTTTCATATTATGCGTGTTATTGTTACATGCATAGTCAAGCGCAATTAGGAGAAGTTTTGTTTAATCTTGAGATAGGAAAAACCTTAAAAATTTAAAAGATCTAAATAATAATAATAATAATAAGTCATAGAGATGGTTGACCTAGTGCAAGAAGAGAACTAATCTTGACCGCTTATAGAGTAGGCTAACCCAATGATAGAAGGCATTAACCAAAGCATCAATATGCCCAATATCTAAGATAATAATTTTAAGTTAATGCCTTTTATCAATCAAATGGTACAAAATTTTTAGTTTAAGGTAACTCTTTTAGAGGATCTCAATATACATATAGCCAGCTCCTTAGAGATATGTGTAACATTAAAGTATAACGGAGTCTCTAATGATGCCATTAGGCTTAAATTATTTATGTTCTCATTAAGAGACAAGGTTAAGATATATGTGGTTGAACTCTTTACCCCCGGATTAATTATCACAAGAAATTATTTAGCTCATAAGTTCCTAGCCAAGTACTTCCCTCCATTAAAAACTATAAAGCTTATGAATGATATTACCTAATTCAAGCAATTAGATGGAGAATTAATATCTGAAGCTTGGGAAAAATTTAAGAAATTGCTTAGAAAAAGCCCACACCATGCCTTGTCTAATTCACATATCATCCAAAACTTTTATAATGGACTTGTAGGATCTCTTAGATCAATCATTGACACTTCTACTAGGGTTTCTTTGAAGTCCAAATCTTTCAATGAAGCATATGTTTTGATTGAAGAAATGGACACCAATAATTTCCAATGTCCTTCTGTGGGAGCGACTCTTACAAAAGTGGTTAGTCTATATGAATATTATGACTTAATTATTTTGACTACATAAATAGTTATTATCTCTAGTAAATTGGATAACATTAGAGTTAGTACATAAGAAGGAATGCCATGTCATTAGAGAAGAATATCTATGGAGTATCTAGTGAGATGCCTAAAGGGTTGAATCCTTAAATGCCATTAACAATAGACAAAATAACCCTTATTTTAACACTTACAATTTAGGAAGAACCACCCATACTTTCAATAGAATAATAATTCTAGTGGGGGTAATTATTATAACTCTAGCCAAACTAACCCTATACAAAATGAGAATCCACCTAATTAATTTTTAATGTTTTTTATTGTAGTATATTGACTCTATAATTAGGTCCCCATTTACAAAACTAGACCTTTTATAGAAGGATTTTTATCCTTTATTTGGCATTTAGGTCTGGTGGGGATTTCAATATTATTTCTTCTCCAACAGAAAGACTTGGGGGCCTTAGGTCTCTTTACCAATCTATGGAAGATTTTAATAATATGATCATGGATTACAACCTTATTGATATTGGTTATACTAGTAGCAATTTTACTTGAAATCATGATAATCTCTGACAAAAGTTGGATCATGTGCTTTTTAATGATAGTTGGGTTAATTCCTTTTCCTCGACGCATGTTAAACATCTTAGTGAAACCTTATCTGACAACTCTCCATTACTTATTTCTTTACTATTGAATTTACCTACCTTTACTTTAAACTTTAGATTTCAGAATATGTGGCTTCTTGATTCTACCTTTATTAATGTTGTCAAAGAGAACTGGCAAGCTCCTCCTCATCCAGACAACTCAATTTTTGGAATGAATAGAATGTGGCTTAAGTTGAAATGGTTAAAACAAAAAATTTATTGATGGAATCAGAATGTTTTTAAAAATGACTTCATTAATATTATTTATATCGAGGAGAAAGTTAACTCCTTGGAGCATATCTATCAACATACTCCATCTGATGATAATTTTACTCAGTTGCAACAAGCCAAAAACTCTCTTTTTAACTTACAAGCCTAGGAAAAAGCTTATTGGAAATAGAAAGTGACTTTGAAGCTTCTTATTGATGGGAACAATAACACAAAGTACTTTCATGCTCTTATTGAGCTATTATGATGAAATTGCCTATTCTTGTGTGAAATTCTTTAAAAAGTTGTTTAATAAAAATTTTATTCCTACTCTTATTGAGAAGCTAAACATTATTCCTCACATTATTAGCCAGAATGGCAATTTGGTTCTTATTGCTTCTCCTACTTTGGAGGAAATGAAGAAAATGGTGTTTGATTTGAATACTTAGTCTACTGTTGTTCCGGATAGCTACACCACTAAATTCTTTCAAAAAAATTGGAATAATGCTAACATTGATCTTTTTAATGCTATTTTTATTTCTTTGTTGGTAATACTATGCCTAAGTTTCCACCTCCATTTTGCTTATTCCAAAAAATAATGGAGCTTATACTTGGAATGAATTTAGGCCTATAAGTTTCTATACCTTTTTTAGTAAGTTGAACTCTAAGTTGCTTATAAACCACCTTTCTCCTTTACTTAATAGAATTATTGCTTCTAACCAAACTTATTTTATGCAAGGTAGATCTATTTTGGATAACATTTTAACAGCTCAAGAGCTTGTGCATGATTTGGATGTTAGGGTACCTAGGGGTAACATTATTTTTCAATTGGACATCAACAAAGCCTATGATAACATTAATTGGGACTTTCTTTACCATATTCTTAGTTTATTTGGCTTTAATACTACTTTTATTAACCTTATTAAATGATCTATTGAAAATTCATTTTTTTTTTGTTATTATTAATGGTAAAAGTAATGGTTTCTTTAAGTCTTCTCATGGGTTGAGACAAGGTGATATTATCTCTCCTATTCTCTTAATTATTATTATGGAATATTTATCTAGAGGCATTTCTAATCTTTATGAGAGTTATCATAACAACTTCTATAATATTTTGAGTGGGTTTCCTGTTTCTCATTTATGTCTCATGGGTTGTGATATGTATGATATATATTTCTGAACATTCATGTCATGTTTTATTTGATTTTAGAGCTAGTCATTCATTTATTTCCAAGGGTTTATTCGATTCACTACACTTGTCTTCAATTGCACTGCCTTTTTCTCTTTCTATCATTTTATTAGTTGGAGATAATATGATGGCTAGTAGATTATATTTATGTGATATTGAGATTTTTGATAAGAAGTGAAAATCCAGTTTGATTTTAATACCCATTTCCTCATATGAAGTTATTATGGGTATGAATTGGCTGAGTTAGTATGGGGCTCAGATTGAATATTGCTTGAACAAGCGAGTTATGTTATTTATGGGCAATGAAAATTATGTATTCTAGGGAGTTAGAGGTGTTTATCCTGCTTGATCTCTACGTTATAAGCAGATAGATTATGGAAGAATGGTTGTATGATATTTTTTACATCAGTTCGGGATAGAAGTATAGATGCTGGTTCTCTTTCTAATATCTAGTAGTATGAGATTTTTTAGATGTATTTGCTGATGAGTTAATCAGCTTACCTCCATACAGATATATAGAATTATATATTAACATATTTCTAGGTATAGCCTCAAAATCTAAAGCTCCATATAGGATGACCCTAAAAGAGCTTCAGGAGTTGGTTGATAGAAGATTTGTTCAACCTGGTGTTTCTCTCTAGGGAGCACTTGTTCTAATTATGAAGAAAAAGAATAGTACAATGCATATGTATATTGACTACAGGGAGATGAACAAAGTCACTATCAAGAATAAGTATCCCCTGCTATGAATTGATGATCTATTTGATCAGCTTGTTGGATTTTTTGTATTCTCAAAGATTGATCTGCGATCATATTACTATCAGGTGAAGATGATACAAGCCGATGTAATGAAGATAGCTTTTAGTACTCGATACATACACTATATATTTTTGGTCATTCTATTCGGGGTGACTAATGCACCAAGGTATTCAAAGATTATCTGGATTAGTTTCTAGTAGCTTTCATAGATGACATTTTATTATATTACGCTTCTGAGGAAGATCACATCATACATTTAAGAAGTGTATTGGAGACTTTGAGGCGACACCAATTGTAATGCAAAATTCTCCAAATGTGAGTTTTAGTTGAGGAGTATTTCTTTTCTAGGATATATGGTGAGTGGTAATGATATCTCTATTGATCATCAAATAGTTCAGGCAGTCATTGATTGGCTGAGGCATACTACCATATTTGCGTTTCGTAGGTATGGCTTGATATTATAAAAAATTTGAGAAGGAATTTTCTCAAATTTCAGCACCTCTAATAAGACTGACTCATAGTTAGTAGCTTTTATTTGGAGACCCGAGTGCGAGGCTAGTTTTTAGATATTTAAGGATTATTTGACTTCTACTCTAGTTTTGGCTCTTCTCTATGGTATAAAAGAATTTCAAGTATTCATTGATGCTTTACTGAGAGGTTTGGGGTGTATTTTGATGCAGCATGATTGATGATAGATTATACTTAAAGATAGTTGAGCCATATGAAAGAACTATCAGACATATGATCTAGAGTTGGTTGCTATTATATTTGTTTTGGCTTCATTATTTGTACGGTGTTAGGGGTGAGATTTTCATGGATCGTTAGAGTCTAAAGTAAATATTCACTCATAAGGATCTAAATTTGAGGCAAAGGATATGACTTGAGTTGATTAAGGACTATGATCTGACTATTCATTATTAACTTGGTAAGGCTAATATGGTGGCATATACTCTGAGCAAAAATTCTTTAGGATTATCATATATGCGACTCACTTCTGATGAGTATTTGATACAAGATATAGAGAGATTATAATTAGAGGTGATTTCTCCTACTAGTTGGGATTCTAGTATAGAAACTTAGATGATCATTCAGTCCTCTTTAGAAGAAAAGATTCATGAAGCTGAAAGTTAGATGTAAAATATTTAAAGTTGATTGATCATATCAGATCTGGTAAGAAATTTGAAATAAGAGTTTTTAATTATGGTGTTACTTTCTTCAAGGATAGACTTTGGGTTCCTATTTTTGGTGATATGAGATGAGAGATTTTTCATAAGGCTCGTTATTCAGGTTATACTATCCATCCAAGAAGTAGCAAGATATATGGAGTTCTGAGTATGTTTTGGTCACCTAGATCAAAGAAGAACATAGTTGAGTTTGTGCTGAAGTGTGAGACCTATCAGTTAGTGAAGGTAGAGCATCAACGACTAGGAGGTCTTCTACAACTGTTACTTATTCCAGATTGAAAATGGAAAGATATAACAATGGATTTTGCTATGGGGTTCCCCATATCGAGGCAGGGGCATGATACTATTTGGATTGTTGTTGATCGATTGACAAAATCTGCCCATTTCCTCCCAATTAGACAGACATACCCGGTAGATAAGTTAGCACAGATCTATATTAAAGATATTATAAGTTGCATGGTGTGCCAAAAGTGATTGTATCTAATTGGAATGATATATTTAGCTCTAGATTATGGAGAGGTATTCAACAAGGACTGGGTAGGAAGTTGCACTTCAGTATGACTTTTCATCCGTAGACATACAAATAGTTTGAAAGTACTATTCAAGTACTGAAGGATCTTCTGAGATTATGTATTTTAGATTTTGAGGGCAGTTGACAGGATCATATCCCGTTTATACAGTTTGTATATAATAATAGTTATCAGTCCAATATAGACATTGCTCCTTATAAAGCTCTATATGGTAGAAAATGTAGGACTCCTTTGACTTTGATAGAGGTGGGAGATAGACAAGTGATAGGTTCAGTCTTTGTGGATG